TTTGTCATCTTGAAGGAGTCATGTGATTGGCTTACCACGACTACTTTATTCTTCCTCAGTCAAACAGCAGCACTCATGCGATTGTTTTGCCCCCCTAGCTGCAAAAAAGTGCGAAAAAGTGATTGTCTGCTAGAAAGTGATTGCTGTCCGCGGGAGCGCGCGCAGCTGCTTAAAGCTGTAGCGCCCAGATTACTTACGTAGACAGCTACTTCTGTACAACTGATGCAGTAAGGTGCGGTAAGCTGAAGACAGCTTCAACCGTCTGGTTGTTGAAAAATAGTAACGCAACCACATGGCATTTTCTTGTTAGTACCGGTAACGACGTTGTAACAATAGAAGTAGTAATTAGTTAGATTACTCGTTACTGAAAAAGTTAACGCCGTTTGTACCGCCGTTACTTGTTATTCCCATCACTGGAAATGACAGCTCTCACAGAAGACTGACTGGTCTACATGGAATAAAAATATCATTAAAAAAATGTATGCAGTAATACCAGACTACACTCTAGCAATTCAACAGCTTTAACAAAACAAATCTTCATTTACTGCAAAATGTAGACAATTTCTAGTAATAAATAAGCCATCCAAGGCTGAACACATCTGTTGCCTCTGACATGTTTTTGTAGGTGACTGCATACCCACAATATTCTTCTGGGAACCAGTTTTTTTGTGAATACAGTTCAGTTTTGAGGGCTTTAACACTTTGTTTTTGTTCCTGCATGTTCCTGCCAATGATAAAGAAGTGAAGAGAAATGGAATTCCCATTATTATTAGTGAATTTCTAGTAAAGATGATAACACAGTTTTTATGGTCATACAAAACAATTAAATACCAAATCATGCTCCAAAATGTTGATATAATTTTAAAGAAGCATATTTAACTACGATATCTGACGGTCTGTTAACATACAGATAGCTAGCTAATCTTAAAATGACTCTTCAGTACAGAAATGAAGCCCAACAATCATGTTTTACACTCCCGTGGTCTCAGCCTCAGGTACTCAACAAATCAAACAAAGCTCATGTGAAAACAAACAAACAAATGAACAAAATATGTTCTCCTTCATTTCTGTCAAACAAAGCTAAATGAAACGTTTCCAGCTGTTAGTATCATGGTTGCTAGGCAACCTGGGCAGCGTGACGGAGGCTAGACCGTCCCATTTCAGAAGCCTCGCACTTCCGGCCTTAGCGGTCTTTGAATACGCGGCCTTTGTGGACTGTTAAGGCTGCGTACTTTAAGCAGGCTGCAGACCCTGAATTGGGATACAGCCATTATGAATGGTGATGCTGTGGCAAACAATGCCTCTTCAGAACCCCTAAGAAGGGTCTGGGTTTTAAATCATCTGGTCAGCTGAGGACTCATTAGAGATGTTGGAGAGGAAGTCCTTTCACTTTTTAGCTAAATTTAAACATCTTTTGTCTAGATTACACGTCGGTGACCTGAGAAAAATGCAGCAAGTTGGGGGTTTTTGCAGCAAGTTTATAATAGCAGGAATGCACTGACAGTTTTCTTGTTTAAAGAAGTTTCTGGCATTTATAGTACGATAATAGTATGCTTTTTAGTCTATTTTATGATAAAAGAATAAAAGAATTAAACTGCTACATAAAGTTTAAGATTTTAATTACTATGAATAGTCAATATTATACATGTGGTATTTTTTCTACTTTCTACATTCATGTATTCACTGTCTGTTGTCAATCATGTTTTACACTGTGTAGTATTTCCTGGTAGGTGGCAGTAACGCGCCAACATTGTTTCTGCATTTGCATGTTGGTGATTTATTGCATGCACACAAACCTGTGCGCTGTTTAAATCATGTTTCATGGAACTACAGATTTGTAAGCCCTGGCATTTACTGAGCAACAGTCAGATAAATATCTGACTGTTCAGGAACAAGGAAAAGATGACACTCAAGGGGAACTTTATACTCATTTCCAGCATACACGAGGGACACCATTTTAAGGCTTAACTACTATTGGTGTGATGTAATCGGCAATGTTAAATCCCTCAACACAATCAGCAGTGATCTGATTGACAATAATCCCAAGTGAAAGTTGGATTTCCATCCATGCAATTGTGCTAAAAGCACCAGCATTAAAGTGATGGAGGTCTTAAATCCAGATAAAACTTAAAAACTATGACCTTGATATCATTTTTAAATGCTTTTGATTTTATCTTATCCTTCCCACAGGTTTTTATCCAGAACATGTTATTGTTCTTGGAAAGTTTATTTTTCAAGGAAAGAGAGCTGGTTTTAGTTTCACTAAAAAGGGATAAAAGACAAACAAAAACATATCTTCTAATGCAGGGATTATCAAGATGTTCCTATCAAATATATCCAAGTGAACAGTTCCATCAAATAACCCTTAGCTCTAGGTACCATCCACCTAATGAAGACTACTAAAAAAATTACATTATAGGCATTTTCTAGGAGGTCAGATATTCCAGGAACCCCCAGGAACACTTTCAATACTATTTGAGTTTGGAATCCCATCAACTCCTGAGTCCCAAGGTGCCACAGATACTTCCAAAAGTCCTTAAAATGTTCCTAAGCAACAAGAGGCCATTTAGCGCCACCACAAAACTCAGTGGAAAAATGTCAAGTGATGAGTCCCATGAGCCCCCAAATTGAACATCAAGACCTCTAAATCTCAATCTAATTATTTGTATGCCTTTAACCCTATCAAGACCCCTCTAGCCCACTGAAATCGACTTAAGGATGTTATGACCATCAAAATCCCCTTAAACATACCAAACCTTACCAAGAACCCCAGATAAGACAGAACTTTGACGTAAAAAAGCCCATGAAACTTACTAATGAACACTGAATGCAACAGAAATCCTTCGATGAACTCTAACTCATATACCCCTGGAACTACCTGCTGGACCTTTGGGACTCCATGACTTGTCTCAAAGCCTCTGTAACCTCTCTAAGTTCTCTGCAACCACTTTTTAGCAAGGAAAAAGCTTTAGAGTGACTCATGAGGAAACTCTCAAAAAAGAACCAAACAAGTATACACATTCTGTGATGTGTCCCCAGAGTTAATCCTTAACTCTACCTCATAAAAAAAAACCCTATTTGAGCCTCCATCAAAAGACTCTTGACTTATCTAAGAAACTCTGCAACCCTCGTGTAGTTCGTTACAATCCTTAAGGACCCCTAGATCTTTTCATTGTCATCAGTGGAAAAGATAATAACTCACTGCTTTTTTTGTTTCACTCAGAATCACACACTGCAGCTAAGCTTCTTTCTAATTTTAAAAAACACAAAAAGCTCCAGTTATTAGTGTCAAATAAATCATCTTTCCTTTGCTCTGTGTTTGATTCAAAAGTGCTAATATGTTTGGCTTTTTCTCTTCTGTTGTACTCTTCGAGTGTAAATTAAAGTTAATGTTCGGTTCATGTGTTTCCCTTGCTGCAGTCTAGTTTGAAATAGGAAGCGTGTGGAAATTCACCTTCTGTTTTACTTCGTGTTTAGAAAACTGCCACTTCCTCTGACAAAAATTTACAGTGTCGCCATCAAGTACCTAGTTCCTCCTAAACAGTCATCTACCCCTCGAGTGTCAACATACCTTGGACTCAACTGCTGCTATCAGAATACCCATCCTCACAGCTCATGTTGGTAAGAGTGTCATTTCTTATCTGAATGTCAGGCTTCACCCCCCCCACCCCCC